CACCCGCCGGCACCGGGGCGGTTCCAACCCGGTAAGGAGGCTCCGGGGGTTCATCGGTGCGAGGCGGCACCGGGGCGGCCGCTGCCGGTACCGGGAGGCGCCGACCTGGCGGGAGGCTCCGAGGAGCCGTGCCCCGGGTGTGGGCTCCGGGAGGTGCCGGTATCCGCTGCGGCCGGTACCGGGAGGTGCCGATCCTGCGGGGAGCGGGCGGACGGTGCCGGTACCGGAGGGTCCGTGCGCGGGTCGGGACAGCCGGTACCGGGAGGTGCCTCCCGGCAGCGATCGTGCCATGAGTCCCTCCCCGTTGCGGCTGTCACCGGTACCGGAGCGCCCGGGGAGCGGCCGAGCGTGAGCGGGGCCGGAGCGCGCCGGTGCCTGCACCGGAGCAGCCGCCGCTGTCACTCGGGGCTGGCACCGGCTCCGGTGCCCTGGAGGGCGCGATGCCGCGGGGTGCGAGCTCTCGGAGGCGGCGGCTCCGGCACCGCAGCGGGGGATCCGGTTTCGGACTCCCTCAACCCGGCACCCGCAGCGGTTTTGGGGTGAAACCCGCGTGTTTTGAGGCTGCTGGGGGCAGCGCAGAGGGCGCCGGGGGCTGCGGTGACGCTGCGGGTCGGGAGCAGCCACCGTAAACCCGGGGTGCCCGGGACCGCGTCCCCGTCCCCGTTCCCTGGGGCTGGGGTGAAGCAGGAGCCGCGGAGCAGGGGAAGGGGTGCGGTGGCACCGGGCAGGGCTGGCTGAGAGCCCCCGAGCAGGAGGACTTTATCCTCTTGGTCTGCCCTTAACCCTGGTCTGGGAGGTGGGCACTTGCGTTTGCCAAAGGTCAGGGGTGAAATTAGGGTGAAAAACGTTAAAATCGGGCAAAAGCTGGGTCTGGCGGGTGAGAAAATCCAGCCCCGGGGCTGTGCCTGCGGCTGGGAAATGCCCCCGGGTCCCCCCCGCCGTTCCCGGCTCCGGGAGCGGGCGCTGATCCCCATGCGCACGGCGGAGGGCGGGGGGCAGCTCCGCACCGCTCCTCTGCGCGCTGCTTGTCCTGCCCTGACCCCTCCCAGGGCTTGGGGCTGCAGCGATAACGGGGGTGGGGAGCGCCGCGGGGCCCGCTGGGGACGGGAGGACCCCGGGAAGGCTGGAGGAGAGCTCAGGGGGCTGGGGATGAACCAGGCTGGGGCTGAGCCCAGCAGCTCCTTGCTGTTACCCAGCCTGTTCCGCTCCTCAGCCTGGGCTCGGTTGGAGCCTTTCCTCTTTGATGGGATTAGGGAGCAAATCCCCTCTTCTGTTCTGTTCTGTTCCAACATCCAGGCTTTGCATCATGGTCGGAAGCGCGGCCGCTTTTCCCTTGGCTTGGAGGGAGTCCGTGTTTTGTGGACGCTGGACGGACGCGTTCCCGGGAAGCAGGCGCCGGGTGAGTCATCTCCGTGCAGAAATAGCTCTGCTGGGAGCAGTGCCACGATCCCCATGGGATTCTCTTCTCCCTGCTCCGCGTGGAGCCGATTGCGCCATCCCACGGCGCTACCGGTGTGCCCAGGGCCAGGATTGGAGTCGCGGAGGACTGGGGGCTTCCCTGTCCTGCATGGGGCAGAGCCAGGGGTTGAGGTCCCCCAGCTGGGCTCATCCTTGGTGAGCACTGGTTTATTAAGTCATTCCCAACGCTGGGATCTCCCTTTTCTGTATCCTAAGGGGAAAACAGCACATACAGAAAGGGCATCGCTTGCCCCGCAGGCCCCAGAGGCTGGTGGTAAATCCCATCCCGGGCCTTTATTCCCTAAATAACTCTGGTTTAGGTTTTAACGTCTCCTTTGCATAAAAGCAATGCACCTTTGGATGCAGTGAGTTGAGGGCAGAGAGCAGAAGGCAGCTCTTGCAGGAGCATGGTGGGATGCTCTGGTCTCCCGCTGGTGGGTGGGAACAGCATTGTCCAAGCAGACTTCATGGATTATCATTTTCCTTAGAAATCCCATAGAAAACAGCCCAGGGGCCTCTTTCCTCCCCACTAACTCCCCAAGGGAAGCTAAACAGCAGGCTCCATGCAGCTGCAAGGACACCAGGGCAAGGAGCCCAATGCAGCAACTGGGAGCAGTTGGATTTATCCCTGCTGGGGCTCACGATGCTTTAGGAAGAGCAAAGAAGCCCTGGGGAGCTGCAGGGACCTGTGCTGAGGTTGGTGATGGGCTCACCAAGGAGGGAGCCAGGAGAGACCAAACTGGTTTTGCTCCAGCTTCTGGTGTAGAACCATGGAGCCCCAGCCTGGTTTGGGTTGAAGGGACCTCAGCGCTCATCCAGCTCCAAGCGCCGCACGGGCAGGGGCATCTTCCGCTGGAGCAAAATGCAAGGACCTTGGGCCAAAAAGAGCTTTCCCAATGCAGGTCCCCGTTGTCCCTTCGTGTGCCCACCATGGTGCCCACAGGATCAGTGAGCCCATTCCCCGTAGCACAAAGTCTCCTCCTTAAGGCTTCGACCCAAGGTCTTTTCTCACCACTGGCAGCTCTTTAGGGCCTCAAAAGAGACCAAAAGGACAATTCCTCTTTCATGTTTGGTCTTTTTCTGTTTCTCTCCCTTTGGACCTGCAATTTGTGGTGGCTGATCCCACGCCCAGGCTAAATGGAGCATTCCTTGGCTTCAGATGATGCCTGCAAACAGCCCTTGGCTTCTGCTGGGGGCTTCCACAAAGCAATGCCTGGCGTCTGGTTGGGAGGCTCCTCAGGACCCAGGCTTCCAGCTGGGCTCTCATCGCGGCTGTGGTTTGTGCTTCCAGCACAGTCCTGGGTCGCGCTGGTGCCCAAAATAGGTTGGTGCTGGGCTCCCATCCAGCCCAGGCCCCCGCACAGAACACCTTGGGCTGCGAAACCCTCCCTGCTGCCGCGTGCGGGCGGCCAAATCACTGCAGGCTCCCAGCCCGGCCGAGCCGCGCTGCTGGTGCCCAGTTAAAGTCAGCCCTGTCCCAGGGGGCGATTGCTCTGCCTGCTCCGTGCCGGGAGGATGCCGCCATTGAAAACCCATCCCGAACTATTCCTACTGGGAAAAACCCAGGGCACCGCTGGAACGGAGCGCGTGCTGCTGGGGTCGGTGGCTGAGCCGCGCTGCTGCCTGCTCTCACGTGCAGCAAAGCCCGGGGGAATTAAGAGGGTTCAAAAGCATTAAAGGGGCTCTGCAGAGGCTCCTTTAATTCCTCCATTCCCGGGACAAAAGGTCCCGAGTTTGGGAATTGGCTGCAGGACCCGGCTGTGCCATTTGGTGCCGGACCCATTAACAACCCCGCTCTTGGTGCTTTGCAGGCGGAGGAGCCCTGAGCGCTGCCTTCAGCGAGACGCTGCCCACAGAGTGATGCTCTTACCATGAAAAGGTGCTGTGAGGGCGTGGGGCTGCCATGCCTCTTTAAGGTCAGTGCCGTGCGCACCCGCAGCATCCCCTCTCGGGAGCAGGAATTGGGGTCCCCATCCTGCAGGTCTCCAGTCGGGGTCATGGGAGCAGCGGGAGGTGCTGCAGGGGCCGTGGTGGCTTTAGGAGGGAGGCTCCATGCCATAACCCATGGGGGTTAGAGCGGGGTGGGAGGAAGCTCCGAGTGACCCCAGGCTTTGTGGTGCCTGCAGAGCCCGACCTGGGGAGGGAGCTGTGCCCGGGTGATGGAGCAAGAATCAGCCTGTAAAGTGTTTTCCTGTTGGGAAGAGCCAGACTGGTCCTGCAGGGACACAAACCCCTTTGGGATAAACCCGCCCTAAAGTGTCCGGGGGAGGACGGATGCGGAGCTCGCTCGGCCCAGTGACCCCTTGACTGCAGGAACGGGATTAGCGCTGACAAAACAAGCTCTTTATAGGCAGGATAAAGGCCTTAGGGCCGGGGTGAGGGATGCCAGCAGGGATTAACCCCCGCCCCCTGAGCCTCGCTGGGCCCAGCTGCAGGGGCTGAGTTGGCCAAGGAGCATGGCAGGGCCGGCGGCGCCCCGCTGCTGCGGTGCCACCGTGGCTGTGCCAAGCGCCTCGCGCTAACGCCGGGCACGCTCCTGCCCCGCAGGGCGTCGGCATGGCCGGGGCCCGGCCGCCCCGGTTCCTCCTGGTCTTTGACTTCGACGAGACCATCATCAACGAGAACAGCGACGAGTCCATCGTGCGCGCGGCGCCGGGGCAGGCGCTCCCGGACCACATCCGCCAGACCTTCCGCGAGGGCTCCTACAACGAGTACATGCAGCGGGTCCTGGCCTACCTGGGGGACCAGGGCGTCAAGATGGGCGCCTTCAAGAGCGTGTACGAGAGCATCCCGCTGTCCCCCGGCGTGCCAGACCTCTTCCAGTTCCTCTCCAAGCACCACGAGCTCTTCGAGGTCATCCTCATCTCCGACGCCAACATGTTCGGCATCGAATGCGCCCTGAAGGCAGCCGGGTTCTACTCCCTCTTCCGCAAGGTCTTCAGCAACCCGGCCAGCTTCGACAAGAGGGGGTACCTCACCCTGGGGCCCTACCACAGCCACAAGTGCCTTGACTGCCCGGCCAACATGTGCAAGCGCAAGATCCTGACCGAATACCTGGCGGAGAGAGCCCAGGAGGAGCTGGAGTTCGAGAGGGTTTTCTACGTCGGAGATGGTGCCAATGACTTCTGCCCTGCCGCCGCTCTGACCGCCGCGGACGTGGCCTTCCCACGGAAGGGCTTCCCCATGCACCGGCTCACCCAGGAGATGGAGAAGAAGCAGCCGGGAGCCTTCCAGGCCACCGTTGTCCCGTGGGAATCAGCTGCGGAGGTCGCCCGCTACCTGCAGGAGCTCCTCAAGAAGTGCTGATGGCTCGGGGGGGATCTGGGCGCTAGGAGAGGATGGGAGAGGAGATGCTGGGGGGGGGTCGGGTCACCCCGTGGACCCCCCACTCATCGGCACCGCTCGCTTGGCCCCGCTCCTGGGCTCCTTTCCTCTCCAGCTCCTTCCTCCCCGCTGATACAAGCACTTTCTCCAGGTCCCCCTTCCCCTGCCCCATGGAGGTGAAGCCTTCTCTATGCACTTGGTGTTTGCCAACACTAAAGGTGATTTGGGGGGGGGGGGGGGCTTGGTTTTCTTCCCTTCCCCTTTTGACTTCACAAGAGCAGTTCCCAAAGGACCAGGCTGGGCCCTCCCCACGGCTGGGCCCTGCACGTGCTTCCTCGCGCCTTCATCCTCCTCAGCCGCCCGGCCTGGCCATGAGCTGCCTGCTGCTGCCTTCATCCCGATGCCCCAGGGCTCTTTGCCTCTTCACGAGGCCGCTGGAAATGGAACCCAGGGAATCTGAGCTGCCCGAGCTCCCCCTCTGCATCCCAGCCCCGCTCCTGGGCCTGGCGATGGAGCCATCGTCCCTTGGGATTGATTCCCTGAACACGAGGAGCAGGAAGCCTTTGGGAAGGTGGTGCCTGGGCAAACGCCTCCTCCAGCCCATCCCCGGGGCACTGCAACTGCGTCCCAAGAGGAGGAGCTGCCCTTGCCTTCCACTGCCACCCTCTGCTTCTGCTTCCAGGGCAGGTTCCTCCTCATCCCGAGCCATCACCGGGCACCTCCCCGTGGCCGCTGGTTCAGAGCAGCTCCCCCCGGACCCTGGGGATGAGTTTCCCTCCTGCCCTGGCTGAGAGGCGCGGAGGCTCCCCCGGGAGGTCTGGTGCTGAGCGCTTCCCTGGCACCAGCTCCCCTGCCCCCTGCAGCATTAACGCCCCCTCCAAGCGTGCTGCAGTGGGGACCTTCAGCCTTCACCGCTCTCTGGTGTTGGCTTCTCCCGGATTTCTCCACAGCCTTAATGGCCCCTGAGGGTGGTGGAAACCCCTCAAAGCATAGGAACCCCAGCACAAACCTGAGCAGTGATAACCAAAGCAGCCCCGAGTTGTTCCTCCTCTTCCTGCATTCCCCCCCCCCCTCTGTTCCTCCTCCTCTGGACCCTGTTCAACTGTGTGGAACTTAAAGCCATGGAATTAAAGAAAAGCATATCTATGTACACGGATACAGAGCAGTGTATTGCAGAGACACGAGGTGTTTGTACCCAGGGCATAAACCTGGGTGTGCAACAGCTCCGTGCGCGTTTGTTCCCCTTCCTTGGGCCGGTGAAAGGGGGGGAAGGCGATGGAGGGGGAGCAGCAGTGTGGGGCCAGGCTGCAAGCGATGCTCTGCAGGAGGGAGCCCCTTGGGTACCCCTTTGGTGGAGGATTGGGCCCTGGCTCATCCCTTTCTGCATCTCAACAGGCGCGGGCACAGGGTGCCCAGGGAAGCTGTGGCTGCCCCATCCCTGGCAGTGCTCAAGGCCAGGTTGGACACAGGGGCTTGGAGCAAGCTGCTCTAATGGAAGGGGTCCCTGCCCGTGGCAGGGGTTGGAGCTGGAGGAGCTTTAAGGTCCCTCCCAACCCAATTCTGTGGCTCAAGCTGATGGGGAATGGGCAGCAGGTTCCTGGGGCTGGGAGCATCGCCAGGATCAGCCCATGGGGACCAGCGTTTCCATCCCCAGTACCAGCAGCAACTGATGCCGCTGCCAGCAAACACTCAAGGAAAGCGCAGGGGATGCTCTGGGTACTGAGCAAAGCCAGATTCCGAGGTGAGGCACAGCAGGAGCTGATCCAGGGGGAGATGATTCCTGGTGGGAATGCAGGGGGCTCACAAGGGCTCCACGTAATTGCCAGGGAAGAATCCCACTTCCTGGCCCATGACACCCTCGCACCAGCCGTCCGAGTGGCGCCGGGTGACAAAGAGGAGGGCGCCGGGCTGGAAGGAGAGCTCGTTGTCCTGCTGCTGCGTGTAGGGGTACAGGGCCACCACTGTGAGGAGGGAGGGAAGGGCCATGGAGCCTCCACCGGGACAGGAGCAGACCACGGCGCTGCTCCGTGTTCATTCCAGCCCCAGAGCAGAGCCGGGCCCTGGGTGCTGTGATCTGGGCTCAACCAAGAGCACCCTGGCAGAGATCAGGGATGGGGGGGATCCGCGGGACCTTTCTCCATGTAGCTCTGCGGGGCCCAGGGGGGGTCCTCCGCAGGGGGGGCTGGCAGTGGGGCCACGTCCTCAAAGTCAGGCAGAGCTGGAGGTGACGGCAGCGGCAGCTCAAGGTCATTGGGGGCTGCAGCATCAATGGGGGATGAGGGGCTCCATGGGGGACGGAGGCCACGCGCGCTCCCCGTGAGCCCCCCGGGCTCACCTTGGGGCAGGATCTCCAGCGGGAGCAGCTCCGGGTGCCCGGGGAGCGGTGCTGGTGCTGGGATGGCAGCGACGGGCGCGGGGCACGGTCCTGGCAGCGACGCTGGCAGCGGTGGTGGTGGCGGGGGGGGGGTGATGCCTTCACCGGGGGTCCCGCTGGAGCTGGGGGGCAGCAGTGACAGGGTCAGGGTGAGGCCAGGCTGGGGCCGGCTTTGCCCCCTCCTCATTGACCAGGGACCCTCGGCCCACGCAGGGGTGGGTGTCACTCAGTGGGGCAGGGGGTCCTGACGTGGCGCAAACCCCTTCCCCACCCTGTGCCCCAGCCCTCCCCATCAGGATGGGGCTGCTCTAGAGACCAGCCCTGACCCCCCCAGGCCCTCCCCGCTGCACCGGTACCTGATGGAGATGAGTGAGGAGGAGGAGGCCATGGAGATCTTGCCCTCGGGAACCACCGGTGGCCGGACGGGCGCGGGGACGCGGCCGCTCCTCCTGCGGGCAGAGCAGGCGCTGAGCCCCAGCCTGGCTGCTGGGATGGGGCCGGACCCCCAATGCCCCCAGCCCCGCGCCCGTCCCGAGGCTCACCCCAGGGTCCCCTTGCGAGCCAGGGTTCCGGTGCGGGAGAGCTGGGTGCTGCGGTCCTGCGGGCGAGGGAGGCGCGGGGTGACGGCAGCGGGGCCGTGCCCCCCCGGGGCCCGGGAAGCGGCCCCCCCGGCTCTGCGCTGGGTCCCCCATGGGAGCCGCGGGGCGGAAGGAGCCCAGGGAGGCGCCTGCAGCGTGGGAACCGCAGCCCCAGCGCTGACACTTCCCCTCCAACCCCGGCCCCACGGCGGCTCCGTGGGGACCGAACCCCCCCCAGCGCCTTCCTGTGCCGGTGGTTTCGGTGCTGGGAAGGGCCCGGGGCCGGTGCGAGCGCGGCTTCGCTGAGCGCTGGGGCCGCGCTTCCCCTGCGCTCCATTGGGCTGAGCCCCCCGCCCCGCCTGGGACCCGATGGGAGGAATGGGGGGGAACGGGCAGGGTCCCCACTGAGCCGCTGCGAACCCAACGCTGGGAGCAGTGGGGACCGCAGCCCCGGGCTCACCTTCACGCCGTGGCCGATGTCGTCCAGGACGCTGAAGTTGAGGGGCTTCCTGCAGTAGGGCTCCAGGCAGGGGGGGCTGGGGGGGGCCACGACCTTCCGGCACGTCGGGAACCTCTTGCTGACGGTCAAGGAGCCGATCTCCCGGCGGGAAACCTTCTCCTTGTGCAGCTCAACGCGCTGCGGGGACGCCGCGGTCACCTCTGCCCCGTGCCGCGTCCTCCCCACCTCCATCCCCAGCCCCGTCTGTCAGGGAGGGACTGGGGGAGCCGAGCCTGAACCCCACAGCCCAGCCACAGCCTCAGGGGCTGATCCTGCCCTGCTCCATCACAGAGGATGCCCTTGGTGCCAGCACAGCAGACCTGGCCCTTCCTAAAGCACGGAACGGGGCAGGGGGAGGTGTGGGCCTCGGGCACCCAAAGCTGTTTTCCTGCTGCTCCCAGCGTGATGCTGGGGTCCCGTCTCCTCCCGTGGCTGGAAAAGCTCCAGGCGACTTCCAAGTGCCAGGAAGAGGGCGGGTGGTGACGGGAATCCACATCGGTGTCCCCAGGCTCCGGGAGGCCAGAGCCAGCCCCCAGCAAGGGCAGAGCCAGGCGAAGGCTGCAAACCCCATCGCTTCACTTCAGAGCTGCCCAGGCAGCTCCCATGGGATCCACTGGGATTTGTGAGTGCCCAGACCAGGAGAACCCCCCAGAGACCAATGACCCAGCCCCAGATGGACTCGTTCCCCCTGACGCATTGGGGGACCACCGCGGACACGGTCTCACATCTCCACTGCCAGGTGATGCTGCGGAGGGGGGTGAAGGGCTCCGCATGACTCGGGGGGGTCTTTGTCCCCTCTGAGCTGCCCAAACCCCCCCTTTCCCATAGCTCCCAGCCCCGAGGGGTCCAACCTGGGCCATGCAGCTGATGTCGGCCTCCACCTTGCGCAGCTCGGCCGCCCGCAGGTCCAGCAGCCGCAGGAAGGCGCTGGCCAAGCTGCTCACCTGGTAGCTGACGCTGGCCAGGGACTGCACGCTCAGGGCCATCGTCTCCTCCAGCGCCTGCCGCTGGTCGCTTGCCTGCAACGGGGGGGGGGGGGGGGGGGGGGGGGGGGGTACAGGGGGTGGGACGGGCCCGGGGACCTCCACGTGGAGCCACCGGGTCCCTTCCTTCTGCTTTCCAAATGCATCGAACTTCCCCCGGCCTCCCCAGCACCAGGGACCCGCTGGTGCCTCCCCGCGATGCTGCTGCGGTGGTACCGCTCCCCTGGGGACAGCCCGAGGCGCCACCAGCACCACGGGGATGGCAGCTCAGAAACCCCGGTTAGAATGGGCTGGGATGAAGGGACCTTAAAGCTCCTCCAGCTCCAACCCCTGCCACGGGCAGGGACCCCTTCCACTGGAGCCGCTTGCTCCAAGCCCGTGTCCAACGTGGCCTTGAGCACTGCCAGGGATGGGGCAGCCACAGCTCCTCCGGGTCTCATCACGGTTTCCCCTTCAGCTCCACTCCGGTAGCTCCAACCCCTCGGGAGCAGCCTCCGGGTCTGGCTTGAGGCTGTTTCATCCCAAAGGTCCCCATCCGGGACAAGCACCCGGTTCACCTCCGCGCTGCCAAGAGGCACCCCCAGCCCCCTGGGGCCAGCAGGGTTGGTGTCACAGAGGGACCCACTCTGGGAGCTGAGCACAAAACCCGCTGTGGGGCAAGAGGGGAAACTGGGGCACGAGAGAACCCCCACGCGGCAGCACCATGTGTTGGGTAAGGGCTGCTCAGGCTCCCGTCCGCACCGCCCAGAGACCACCAACCCCTGCAGTGCTGCCGGCAGCACCCCAGGGCTCGCCCCGCGGCTCCCGGCCCCTCACCTGCAGGTAGTTGCTCTCGCAGTACTCGGCCACCCTTTGGAGGTTGCAGTGGTGCTGGCGCAGGGCCTCCCTCCCCGATGGGATGCATCGCTGCAGCTGCTCCTGCTCCTGCTCCTGCTCCGCCATGGCGCGGGCTCTGCGCCCACTTCCTCCCCGGCGCCCTGCTTTGAGGCTCGCGGCCGCGCTGACGCAGGGCCCGAGGGCACCCCCCCATCACAGCGAGCTGGGGAGGAAGCCTCAGCCCCACGAGGGACGTGCGGGGCTCACGGCAACAGCGAAGGATGTGAGTCACGGACCGAAACCCACCCCGAGCCCGTGTCTGCCACCGGGTCCATGCGCCGCTGCTGCTGCTGCTGCTGGTGCTGGTGCTGGTGCTGGTGCGGGGCTCAGCCAGGCAGGGCCATGCCCCTTCCCTTCGCCTCTACCAGCCAGGCAGGAGATGCAGGCAAAGCCCCGCTCAGCACCACCCGGGCACGCAGGGATGTGCTGCTCACAGCTCACATCCCTCGGGAGAGGCCAGGCAGGAAATTCCCACTTCCCTGGTGCCTGGAAATCCCTCTCCTCCCGCAGGTGCTTCCTCGGGGCCTCCCCTGCTCTGTCCTCAGCCCCAGCGCCCCTGCACCCGTCAGACAGGAGCAGAGCCCACGCCAGGGCTCGGCCCTTCCTGAGCCTGTGGCCCCACCAGCACAGGGACGAGGGAAATGATGGATTTCCTCCGGCTCCTCACACTCTGGAGGACCCAGAGCTGCTCCCAGTCCCCAACGAGGTCCCCTGGCCCCGGCTCCTCTCCTCTTCCTCCCCTTCTCAACTCAGGGAAAGCTGCTCCCATTCCCTGTGCCCCAGCCAGGGCAGGACACGGGGCAGGAGGCCCCATCCCTGGCAGTGCTCAAGGCCAGGTTGGACACAGGGGCTTGGAGCAAGCTGCTCCAGTGGAAGGGGTCCCTGCCCGTGGCAGGGGTCGGAGCTGGGTGAGCTTTAAGGGCCCTCCCAACCCAAACCAGGCTGGGATGCTGAGATTCTATGGCACAGACACCCATGGCAGGGGGTCAAAGGCTTCCTCCCCCTCCCCACAGCCCCACCACCGATTACCCTGGGCTTTGAGGCTAATGCCCAACACCTGACCAGCTTATTCTCCTGAGTCTATTATCAGCTTTAGGACCAAAGACATCTGCTCCCCAGCACCCTTCCGCATTGCTGGAGTCCTCAAGCCTGGAGCAGGAGAGCAAGACCGCAGCCAACGGCATCTCCCCTTGGATGGGTCTCTGAGCATCTCCACTGCTGAGAGGGGCAGCCCCTCGTCCCCAGAGGTGAGTGACTCTGCTCCCCCCAGGCACACATCGCAGCGTGGGGTCCCCCTGCTTTAGGCCAGCAGCACGGCTCTGCCGTGGCTCTTGGCTCCTTAGGCTCTGCTACGTGCACCTCCTGGGGCATGGATGGGGAGAGGAGCGGCCAGGAGCAGGCACAGAAAGCCAAGAGGGTCTGGGACACACCGGGTTTAAAGCCCAGTGCTAAGGTGGGAACAGATCCCAGGGCAGGGCAGCTTGTGCAGGGATCTCACACAGCCCTCGGGCGGGCTCTTGCAATCCCCATGGCCCCAAAATCTTCCAGGAGCAGCTGGGCGCAAACAGGCAAGTTCAGAGCAAGGAAGGGGCCAGAATCAGCATTACTGGGGAGGGGAAGCACGGACCAGGAAGGTCTGGTTTGCAAACCTGGCATCCAGGTTCTCTTAGGAGGCTCCTGCTCTGACAGCCCAAAGGCAGAAGCCTTTTTCCAGGCTCAGCCTCACTCAAGCGGTCACCTGAAAGCTTGTGGTAGCAAAGAGCTCTTCAGAAACCAGGCTGGGTCCTCCTCTGCTGCCCAACTGCATCAGTCACCCTGTGCCTGCTGACACCAAGGCAATGGCAACCTGGTTAAAGGACGATACAAGGAAGGCGCCTCCTGCCTTTAACACCTTACGAAGGTTTTCCTTTAGCACCAGCCCAGCTCTCACAGTGGAAGGAGCTGAGACATCAGAGGTGTTTGCAGCATCAGCAGGGCTCAAGCAATGCTCCTGATGCACCTTAGGAGAAGCCCAGCTGCACCCTAATGAGCTCTTTCCCCGCGCTTACAGGGCAGAATGGCTCAGGACATGACAGAGAAGGAGCTGCTGAAGATGGAGCTGGATCAGCTGAAGAAGGAGGTGAAGAACGAGAGGCAGATGGTGAGCCCTGAACCAAAACACACCGGGGCAGTTCCCTGACTGTGCTGCAAGGGAGGGGAGCCACAACCCTTGCAATTAAACCTCCAACAGGCAGCAGCACGGGCACTCACACCTCCCCTCAAGGCAAACAGCCCCCATCGGGCTTAGCCCCGCGTCCTTACAGCCCAAGGGGTGCCCCCAGCACCGTGGGGATGCTCCCGAGCACACCCCACGCTGGGTGGGATGCTCATGGGCACGGCTCCCCTCTCCTGGCTGCACAAACGGGTTTGCAGGCAGCTCTGCCGTGAGGATTTGGTCCCGTTAACGCCCATGGAATGTCTCCTTCCTTGGCAGATCTCCAAGACCGGCAAAGAGCTCAAGGAGTACATCGAGTCCATGGCAGGAGAGGACCCGCTGCTGAAAGGAGTCCCCGAGGACAAGAACCCCTTTAAGGAGAAGGGTGGCTGCACAATAAGCTGACCCCACTGCTGCTGTCACCGCGGGGCACAGGGACGCTCCCATGTGCAAGCCAAGACTGTCCAACCCTGCTTTCCCTGTAGTCTGCCCTCGGCACCGGGGAGTCCGGAACCCAAGCGTAGCCTCAGGGCCAGCAAGAGCAGCAAAGCAAAGAAGAACCCCCCCCATTACCCCAGTGGCACGGAGATGAGGCTCAGCAGCCAGCACGGCGCCGGCTCTCGTGCTCCCACAGCTCAGCTGCCCTCGGCTTCCTGCAGGCAAAACTTGTGCATTCGGAGCAGGCAGCAGCACCCTGGGCTCTACCGAAACCACGGCGCTGGGCTCAAGCAGCCCAGGTCCGGAGCTGAGCCCCGCTTGCTGCAGCAGAGCCGTGCCCGAGTCAGCTCCTCCCCGTGCCTCAGGCACAGGAGGGGTAATTCCCATGCTCCGAGGCCAGACCCCACCGCTCACTCTCGCTTCCTCCCCTGGAACCCCCCCGGCAGCCACGGGAACGCAAGGCCAGGTCCTGCCCGCGCCCATGGGGCTCTGAGCACTGCCCCTGCTTCCCATCAGCTCCCTGCTGCTGCCACCACCCGGCCCCAGAGAGGGGCAGCGATCCCACCGTGTCCCAGCCGCGATGGGGGTGACGTGGGGCAGGCTGGGTGCAGCAGCTCCTGGGAGCAAGCAGGGCAGGACTCACCGAGCCCTCAGGCAGCAGCGCCAGGCTAGGAGCCCCCTGCTCCCAAGGGCAAACCTCATCCCCTGCTTGACAGAAACGAGCCAGCTTCTGTGCTCGGGAGGGTGATGCTTCGGGGAAGTTTTGGGGTTTTTTTTCCTAATCCATCACACCTACGTACGATGTTTGGGGAAAACACTCCAAAACTTGCCCAATCTTATTATTTCAGCTCTTTTTATTTGCAGCCCTTCTCATTTCTGAGGGCCCTTCAGGTCCTGTCCCACTTCTGCCTCCTGCCAGCCCACCTCTGACAGCACAGCCGCCCTCAGAGCCCAGACCCGCTCAGCTCCACACAGCCCACGGCAGAGTCAGGCCCAGCAAAGACAAAGGCTGCAACCTCGGGGCAGGCGCCAACCCCGTTCATCCGATGCTCGGGAAGGGGCGGTGGTGCAGCCAGTACCTGTTGGGAAGGGTGCGGGTGGACCACGGTGCTGAGGCTCCAGGAGCACACGGAGAGGGGCCTGGCCCTCATTTCAGTGCTGTGCTTGAAGGGAAGCCGCTGTCAACCCCACCTGGAGCTGCGTTTTCCTGCCTGCTGGGCCTCGGCTTGGTCCCATCCACGGCCAGCCCTGCTCAGCACCGCCTACGGGACCCCTTCAGCCCCAGCAACGCCCCAGGATGGGGGTTCCCTGGCAGGGACTGACCCAAGGAAGAGGCTCTTCCTCCCTGCGGCAGTTCCGGCACTCACCTGCCTCCCTACCCCAACCCGACCGAAACGAGGTGGTTTTGTTCCTTCCCGCAGACGCTAAATAAACCCGACAGCTCCACCGCGGCCTCTCTTCGCGCGGCGGGCACGGGGCAGGGCCGCAGAGCGGCTCCACCGGCGCTGCCTGGGCTGCAGGGCCGATAACCCGGGCGCGGCCGGCTCTCCTGCGGGGACTGACCCCGATAAGCGACGTTAAACGGGTGGAAACCGTGCGTCAGAGCCGCTAAGCCTCTGCTGAAGGGATTCGGGACGCTTCTGTGCCCAAAGGCGGCTTAAGCCCGGGCCGAGACCCGCACCCACCGGCTTCCAACGCTCTAATGCGGCGTCTCTCCACCGACAGCGGGGGGAGGCGGGGCGGAGGGCGCTTTCAGCCAATAGCAGCGCGGAGAGGTGTGAGTGACACCCCTCGAAACCAATCAGCGCTGAGAGCGAGGTTAGCGCGCCCCGCCCTCAGCACCGGCCCGCCTTTCCTGCGCATGCGCAGTCAGGAACCGGCGCCCCCGCACAAAATGGAGCCCGGCGGGCGCCGGGGGTGCGGGCGGGCGCTCCCGGTTGCCTCCCGTTTGCCCTCCCGCCCCGCTTCACGTCCGCCTCCGTTGCGTTACCGGAACGGCGGCGGAGAGAGGCAAAAAGAACGCGAGGTCCCACCGAGATTTGAACTCGGATCGCTGGATTCAAAGTCCAGAGTGCTAACCATTACACCATGGGACCGCTGCGTAGCGTGGGTATCCCTGCGCCCTCACTGTACCCCGGTGCCCGACGCCGCCGGGATGCTCGCTCCCGTTATCCCGCTGTTGCGGCGATGGGATCCTGTTTCCTATCCCTGCCTTCCCTCTCCGGTACCGGCAGCGCCCGTTCCAGGCTGCGGGCAGCCTCCGGACCCCCTCCCGAGTGGCTCAAGGGCACCGAGAGCGACCGACCGGTCGCTCTCGGTGCCCTTGAGCCACCCGGGAGCGGGTCCGCAGGCTGCTGCATATCCAGGACGCATCCGCACCTCCCGGATAGGAAACGCTATCAATTAGTCCTTAAAACCCCGTTAAATCACCATACCGGCCCCTTTTGAGTGCTACCGGCACTGAGGACACAGTTCGGAGCATCCTGTAGGATGCCTCCGAGCCACCTGCGCTCAGTCATCCCCAACCCTCAACACCGATTTGCCCCGTTTGTTTGGGTTTTCCTCTATTTCTCCTGTAGTTTTCCTCTATTCCCTCTTTATTTTCCCCATTTCCCCTTTATTTATCTTTGTTTTCTATTCCCCCCTCTTCCTCTCCATTTCCCCCTTTATCAATTTTTCCCTATTCCCCCTTTTTCCCTCCATATTTCTCCTTTCCTCTGCATTCCCCCTTTCTTTTCCTCCATTTTCCCCTTTATTTCGCCTTTCCTTCCCATCTCCCCTTTCTCTATTTTCCCCTATTTCCCTCCATTCCTCTATTTGTCCTCCATCCCCCTTTTAATCTCTGTTTTTCCTCTAGCCCTCCTTTATTCCTCTACTTCCCATTTCCTCCCGTAATCCTCTATTCCCCCCTTTATTTCCTCTTCCCCACCCCCTACCCCCATACAAACGCACACAAACACTTTGTGGAGGTTTTATTTTTTGCTCATTTGTCTTTTTTTCCTCTTTATTTTTCAATGAAACAGTGGAGTGAAGCGGTTTGTGGCAAAAAAAAAGAAACCAAACCAAGGAGAAAAAACAACCTCGCTGGAAGAGCAACGGAGCCCACGTCCATCCAAAACCCCAACTCCACATCCAAGCCAACAAACTGCCTCACGCGAGGGGACAAGGCAAGAACACGGACGAGAGGAGGAAAGGAGGAGAGGGAAGGGGAGAAAAGAAATCAGCTGAAAAGAGGAGAAACCAATTGTCAACACAGGAAAGCACAACTGAGCTTCGGAATAGCCTCAAGTTGCATTGGGGCGGCTGCCGGGAGGAGCAGCACCTTTGGGTGCACCCGGCCAGTGGATGAGGAATGGGTGCTCCCAGTGATGCAGCACCCCCAGTGCAGCTCGATCCCCGCCTCACGCTGCCACCAACCCCACCAAGCCACTGGGAAAAGAAGGAAAACCATCCTCTTGCCTGCGATTCCAACAGCAAAAGCCAGGCTTGGAGCGGGCTGGGGAAGCGGGGAGGATGGAGGCGCACTGCTATGGAAGTACTGCTATGGAAGAAGGAAGTAGCCACGTTCTAAAGGAAAAAAGGAGGTCATGGAAGATTGAGCATTCAGAAGAACATCAGTCACAACCCAACATTTTGGACTGCCGAGGTCTGGAGCTCTTACAACTAACGACCACTTTCAAGTGAAAAAGAAAGCCCATAAATTCTATTCTTAAAGAACATTTTTCTTTGGAAAAAGAGTAGTTATTCTTTTTTTTTTTTTATTATTTTTTATTTTTTTCCCCTAAACTACAGCCTGTGGAGTTGCCACTACCTAGGTTTCCATCTATTGTCGCTAAGAGGTAGATAAAACAAAAATGGATTGGTTATATATAAGGTTGTGCCCCCCAGGTTTGATGTGAGGTGAAGCTGAGGGGCTCCACGGGCACCGGCCCCTTGGGGCTCTCAGGAATAGCTCAGGCTGCCTCTGGAGCCACCCTAAAACCAGTTGGGCTGCAGGAGGTGGCAGTGGCATGGGGGGGGGCCATGGGTTTGGGACAAGTTTTCCTCCTGAAGTCAAGGAATTTGATCCCGAGATGAATCCAGATGCGCCCTGAACGAACTGACGTGATTTACTGCTGGGTAGCGCGCACTCACAGCGAGTACAGGCATGTGAAGGACTGCTTCCTGCCCTGATTCCAGTCAATCCTAGTGATTTCCCAGGATGATCTGCCAACAGCGATGGGAGAGCCTGGCAAGCCCAGTGCCATTCCCTGCCTCCCGTCCTGCCGGAGCCATGCTCCCGATCAGCCCTTCCCCACTCCGAAACATCAGCAAACTCTCCCATTGGATTTGGTGCTGCTTTACCAAGCCCACTTCCCAAACTGGTCCAAAACCAAATGGCTTCAGTCCTGTTGTACATTCTGACTCCTGGGGCTGAAATTATTAACTAAACTGGGGGGGGTTAAAGCAAAAATAATGCCTTTCGGTGTCAGCTCGTGCTGATCTGCAGCACCCAAATGCTTTCTACACTTCGTAAGCCACTGCTCTGCCACATGAGTGGGGACAGGCTGCTGCTGTGGTCCAGCAGAGCATCCCGCTGCTGTGGTCCAGCAGAGCATCCCGCTGCTGTGGTCCAGCAGAGCATCCCGCTGCTGTGGTCCAGCAGAGCACCCCACCACCACCAATCAGAGGTATTTAGACAACTAAGGAATCCTGTAATGCACAGTAAAGCAGCAGGGCTCAACCTCACGCCCAAGTCAACCCAAGGTTGATTTTTCAAGGGGTCCAACTCAGCCATGGTCCCACGCCACATCCCAGCATCCTGCAGAGCCTTCCTCATCCGCTCTCCTCTTCCACCACACAGCTCTCCCTAACAGCCAGGACACCAAAACTGCCTCCCCACCAGCCAGGAGGGTCTCTGCTGAGCTCAGGGGTGCTGGAGGCCAGATCCTGCCACAGGGGCAATGAGGGACCCCCCTGGGGCCTCCCATCAGCTCTGAGGTAGTTTGTACGTGTGTGTTTCCAGCTCGCAGCACCTGCACGGTCTCTGTACTAAAACTCCTGATTTCAGAGCCTTGGGCTGGTTTTGCTCCGCTCTGCATCTCCTCCCCCATCACCAATGAGTTAACAAAAAGACATGAAATTAAAATCAAAACACAAACAGAAACAAGGAGAAAAGCTGATTCAACCAAACGGGGACGCATCTCTCTCCTCCCCAACCATCAGGCAACCCAAGTCCATTCTGGCCTTGAACAGTTATTGCCAAGCACCAGGTACCCAACCCATGGCCATGCACCTCCAACCAGCAGATCAAAGCCTCCCAAGCTCAAGCACTGTTAATTCCCGCTGCTCCCAGAGCAAACCCATAGCCAAATCCAGCCCTTTGACTGGGAAAGACTCGGCACAGCACACAGCTCGAGCCCAGTGCATCAGGAGGATGCTGAAATACAGCCGTGCCCTCGGGAGCATACACATTTCACAGGATCACACCGATTCCATCCAAATGAAACCAAAAAAAGCTACAACAGAAAATAAAAGGAATTAAAAACGACCAAAAGA